GTGAATACTTCATGATCAGCCGGCAAACAGATCCAGTATTGAAACTTTTCTTACCATGAAAGATGACTTGTCTATTGTCCTGGTTGAAAACTGACAGAATTTGTTTAACTGATACAAGCCCTAGAACTTGAACTTTGTATATTTCTGGTTTGGAGCCAAGTCCCAAACTGATTTGAGTTGCACCTGTACTCGAGGAATCATTTGTCATTCTGATATTTTGGCAGTGTTATAAGGGCAGGGCTTCAAAGCCCTCTTTGGTCTTGCTCCCCCCTACCTCTGTGATCTCCTAACCCCCTACCATCTTGCCCACTCCCTCTGCTGAGCGGGCTCCGGCCTATCCGCGCCGCAACTGGCACCGCCTTCCATCACCTCCGGAACATCGCCAGACTACGGCACTACCTCACCCCTCACGCTGCTGAAACTCTGGTCCACCCCTTTATCACCTCAAGGCTGGACTATGGGAACTCTCTTCTCTCCGGCCTTCCCGGCCCTCCCTCCACACTGCAGATCATTCAGAACTCTGCAGCTCGTGTACTGTCCCGCACCAGACACCGCGACCACATCACTCCCACCCTCGCTCGCCTCCACTGGCTCCCCATCCCCCAGAGGATCGAATTCAAGATCCTCATCCTCACCTACAAGGCCATTCACGGCCTTGCTCTGTGGAAAGTGTGGGAATGTAACATCTTTGGGCAATCGCAAAAGTTACAGAATAAGCAAAGGCAATGAGACAAAACATGTTTTCGCATTTGGTGTAAGCTCAGCTTTGTTTTGGTTTGCAACTATCAATGTATATGTTATTGTGCTAAGGAACCCGGGACCCATATCTCTTTTTATGAAAGAAACAGACAACCAATTATGGGAAAATGGAACATGTATAAAAGTCAGATGTTGTTTTTATCTGGTGTGCAGTGTGGGGAGCAGTATCTTGAGAGAGTTGTTGCTACCGCTCTGCACCTCATATATATATGAAATAAAGCGTTTTTTGGATGTATATCGCACTGACTCCGTGTTGAGTTTTTCAGGTCTTTAAGAGCAATCGCACATCGAAATCTGGATTTAACAGCTCCCTCCTACCTCTCTGACCTACTATCCCCCTACTTACCTTCCCGTACCCTCCGTTCCTCTGGCTCCGGTCTGCTCCACATCCCCCGCCCCAACCGCCCTACCATCGGTGGCCGGGCCTTCAGCCTCTCAGCCCCGAGGCTCTGGAACTCCATCCCCCAGTGCCTTCGCCGCTTCCTCCCTTTCCTCCTTCAAGGCCGGTCTCAAGACCTTTCTCTTCAACCGTGCCTTCAGCTCCCCTCTCGACTCTCTTCTCCCTCCTCCTTCCTCGCTCCCTCCCTTCCCTCCCCTCACCCTGACCATTTCCCCCCTGCTCGGGTCCTGACCCAACTGTACAGCGCCTTGGGACATCCTCCCGACGTGAAAGGCGCTCTATAAATGGAATCTTGTTGTTGTTGCTGCTTCACATCCCCCGCCTCGCACCCCCCACCATTGGCGGGCAGGCCTTCTGCTACTCTGACTCCACCCTCTGGAACTCCATCCCGCAGACCCTCTGCCTCGCGCCCTCCCTTGCCTTCTTCAAGACCCATCTCAAGACCCTCCTCTTCGATCGTTCTTTCAATCAGTCTGCTTCCCCCCCTTCCCTCCACCCTCCCCGATCCCGACCCCCAGCTCGGGTCCGATACGCTGACTGTCCAGCGCCTTGAGACGACCTCCTGATGTAAAAGGCACTACACAACTGTAATTTTGTTGTTATATGTGATTATGCAGCTTTCGACTTGATGTACAAAAGTAAAAGGACAATTAGGATGAAGAAAAAAAATCTAGCACAAAACATTTTTAGTGGATTGAATTTTCAGTACACTTTTCAGCATAAGAAGCAGGGATAACCTTGAGGACTTTCATTGTTTTATGAAATTCACAAATTCTGCTTAATGTTGAATTTTGAAGTATGATTTCTATCGTGTTTTTGGTGGAGTAGTTCTATTATTTGATGTAGGGGTACATGTGTTATTGCATTTCAATGTTGAGTAATTGTATATTTTTACAAATGAAATTGTATGTACAATATATCCTAGTCTATCCAGAAATCTTTATGTATAAAGAGTAGTATGGGGGTGTAGTCAGTTGCACTTACACCAAACCCCAGCTAGCTGGACTAATGGGGCAGGTGTTCAGTCCCGCGAGCTGGGGTTTAGTGTAAGTGTCCAGCTAAATAATTAAATTGGTTGAGAACTGACTGAATTTAACTCATACAAACCCCAAGACTTTTGTAATCTTTTGGTTCAGAACCAAATCGTGAATGGATAATAACAATAATAATAATCCTCGCACTTGATATAGCGCTTTTCACATCTTCTAGACGTCGCAAAGCATTTCACAGAATATACTGCAAAGTGAATTGACTGTATTTGTGGGCAAAACGCAGCAGCCAATAGGGTACAGCAGCGTCCCACAAACAGTCATGGATTGAAGTGACCAATATATTATTTTTTTCTTGAGGGATTATTATCAGGCATGTGGAGTAAGGAAACTTGCCCAAGGTTTCACCTTGCCAGGAATCGAACCCAGGTCTCTCGCTTTCGAGGCGAGTGCTCTAACCACTGACATTATGCTGCCTGATCTTTGTAGAAATAGATTTCCTAATTTTTAAGGACCTGAATCATTGCCTATCAAGAACATGTTTTACTTGAGATGCTTTCTAGAAGTGCATGTTAATATACATGACCTAAATTTTGGACAAAATTATATTGGACAAAGATGTGGGTTAACTTTAGTAAACTGGGACAACTTCAGAAATCCCAAATATTACAACAGTAAAAACATATTTGCTTTAAATTCTTCCAGCCTTCAAAGGAATATTTGTTTCTGTAAATACAGTAAATAGAATTTTAAAAACAGCAAAAACTATATTAACTTGTCTTTGAGCAGTGTTTTCTTCAGTCCAGTACTTTCAAACTTTATTAGCTAGCTCGTTTTTTTCTATCTGAAGCCAGTCAGTCTATCAACTGTAGTAATTTTCTTTCAGCCTGTGGCTGCTTTGATTCTGAAAGATATGTGGACATGTACTCACTTATCAAAGATATAGAATTCTAATTTTAATTTTAATCACCCTTCATCTTCTGTGCAATACAATTTAAAACTTTACTCACTGCTTAAAGCTGAAACGTTAGATTTTATTAAAATTAAAGATAGAAAATGCTCTGAATCCACTTTAAGTCAGCAACAGCTGAAATAGAGAGCTTCATGGTTTGAGTATTTCAGATTTCCAATTTTTATTTTTAAGTCGCTAATTTTATGTAAAGGTTAACAGTAAATGTTTACTTTTTTCAAAAAAAGCTTTTATTTTAACTCTGGCAATTGCACTTGGGACTTTTTATCTTATTCATTGGTGTTCAACGTTGGCATATCTTTGTTGCTTATATTGAAATTGCAACAAGTCAACTGAGACTTGGATTGAGAAAATAACACAATATTGGTTTAAAGTCTATTAGTCAATTAAACTTGTGGTAGACAGTAACTATCTAGGCTTATACATGAAGAATGCCTTCGTTGGTAAGATATTGGAGGATAGCTGACAGCAATGGAACTGTCCTTAGATGGGGGGAACATTTTGAAGAAAGGATAAAAAGATTTATTTACATTATTCAGCACTATCTAGACCTGAGAAGGTAGCTGATATGCCAGGGCAATGTCATACAGACTGTTCATTTGAAGTTTCCATACAGCTCTTTGAACTGTTTCAATAATACATCGACACTGTTCAGCAGTGAGTAGTGTGAAGTGCATCCTACTTTTTCCTTTCTGTTCTAAAAATAGTGGAAAATATTCAGAGAAAATCAACCAAAACTCACGAGCAAATATTCAAGTTTGCTCCTGGGCTTTAGTTGATTAAACTATGAAAAGAGGGTCAGACAGTTTAATGAGCATGATCTCCTTCTAGAGGCCACTGATGGACCCACTTATTTGCAGTAGCAATTCTCTCCTTGATGGGTACACCGTGTTGATCTAGTAGCATCCATGATGTGCCCCAAATCAGTCCACAGTTCAGTGAAACCATCTTGTAAAAGCCATATTTTTATCTGCTTGAAAACCAGAGGTAAAAAAACATTGTTCCCATTGTTCATTTTGAAGAAAAGAATGTAAGTGAAAGCTTATAAAATTAAAATTGGGAGAAAAAAAGTTAACATTGGCAGAAAAAAATAGGATGGAAATTAGTAAAAGGGAAGTTTTAAAAATTTGGATAAAGTAATAATAATAATCCTTGCATTTGATATAGCGCTTTTCACGTCTTCTAGACGTCTGAAAGCACTTCACAGAGCTACATAGAAAAATACATAATATCCAAGTGGAGGTGAAGTATTCGAAATATTTTTCTATTTCAAATTAGAGATAATATACAAATTTGCTTTAATTTAACAGTTACAGCAGACTAGAATAAAAAAATGCGAGAATATTGAACACTGTTTTTTGACTTCATTTGTTTTGGTACTGTACATAGATTGCAGTAAACTTGGAATATTTCAGGACAAGAGACCATGGTGTTTTGCTTCTATCTCAGTGGTGCTGAGATAACAAACAACTAAAAACAAGCGTTTACATGAGTAGCCCTCAGTGGCAGATGCTGAAGCAGCTCAACCTTGTCTCCCTTATCTCCAAATCTGTTTCATTAACATCTTCTCAGAGAATCTTGATACATGCTTACAGGGGTAGAGACTCCCATAATGCTGGAATAATAGTAATTAAATCAGTTGGCGGATTAGATAGGGCAACAATGCTGAACTTTTGGGAATTACAGATAAAGGAATAGACCTCACAGCCTTGTGGTACAGACATGTCAAATTGCTGGAGAAAATGACCATGCCTATCTTGATTATAGTATTAATATTGTGCTTAATTTTCTTTAAATCAGCAAGGTAGGCTGAAATCATAAGACTAGTTGGACAGCTGATCTTACCTCTTTTTTCCCTCTTCTCTTCACTAAAAAAACGCAGATGGTCCAAGTAATCCCTGTGAGATGGCTGAACCTGCAAGAGTACCAGAGCAAAAAACTCATGGCGGATCATGGGGTCACAGTTCAGCGATTCTTTGTTGCTGATTCCTCAAAAGATGCCCTGGAGGCTGCTAAGAGACTGAGTAAGTTCAGTAATGTTGGGTAGAATTTCCAACAGTGTGAAAGCAACACTGCACTGCTAAATAAACAGTTGATTGCAGATAACTTTTGATGTTACATTTCATAGTGCTGGTAACCTTGATTAAGACGACTAAGATCTGATGAGATTAGACATTTCCATAGTACCTCCAAAGGCCCAATTGGACAGCACATGGATGCAACCCTCAGGTTGATGAGCATGTTATAGATTAGTTTGATTTAAAAACATTTCAATGCAATTGCTGTTTTTGCAAACGATGGCAATAACAATGCTTAATGCAAACTCGATTTGACAAAAAAATACACTTTACTATCTGTTTGTTGTAGTTCCCCTGAACTGTATAGTGTGAAACTGAGTCGTACAGATCCAGAAACTCCTATGTTTGCTCCCCATTCTGAGTTGTTCTGTGCCAGTACAACAATAAGGATCCTACATTTCATCTTAGAGCTGCTGGGCTTGGGAGGCAAACCTTAGTCAGGTTTTCTACTCCTGCTTGCTGAGAGTGTAATCATTAGTGATAAATTTTCCATTGGAAAGCAGGTGATCACTTCACTGGAGGCTTGTGTATTTGTCGTTTTTTTTATATCTTACAATATGTTAACCCATAGTAAAATCTGATATTGATTGACAGTTTAATGGTTTAAATTTTCATATGATACCTCACATTAGCAATACTTTGTGATTTAAAAGTATTTGATCAATATGCTGATGGATGGGGAGTGCTTTCTGCAAACAAACAATACTGATAGGCGATGCAATACACTTATATGAATCTTCACTGCTTTATGACCTGATCACAAATATTACTAGTAAGGAAGATGAGAAAAATTAAGGTTGTGAGAAGATCATTAATTCCACCGAAGCTCATCCCTCTACCCACTATACTCAAACTGAGTACTTTTTACAGGAGACTTATATTAGCTATATTTATGTGATCTACATATCAGATATCTTATCAAGATAAATATTGTCAGATTTGGCACTGAAATTCGGAATGGCAAGAGCCAAGAGCACAGATCAGTTCAGGCTCCTACCAAAGTTTGCTGGGTTTATTAGGAGTAGGAACCAGAGGCAGTGCATTTGGAATCTGGAACCTGGAGCTGTGCCCCAAATAATTTTTACATAAAACTCTGTGGCATCATAGGGTGTTTGAATGATTCCTGCTGTGTACATTATTGATTTTGTAACGGTATTCAGTTTCACTTTGAAACTCCATAATGTTTTTGCTTCTACTGACCCACATAACAGGAAATTACAGTTTTTATCTTCCAAGTAAACATATTCTTCATAAAACTATCAGAGAATTCCAGGAGTGTGTGACTGCAAAGAGGAGTTTGCCTTAAGTTGTCCCATAACCTTCCTCTCCACATCTTCCTCAATATCCACTGTGTTAGGCTGCAAACCTTGTGTCACTGTTTGTGACCATTGGAATGCCGATAAGAGTCTATTTTAATGATCTAAAGTAGAAATGAAAAATGATTGCTTTGTAATGTTGCTGTTGGATGGTACAGTCTACATTCTGAGCAGCTGCTCAGTGCTTTTGGAGATGCAAACCGTTTCCAGTACTGTATTGTAAATGGTTTCAAACGGTACTTCAAAGGATTGAGAATTCCAGCAATTGCAAAGGTGAGTATTGATCAGAGGGGTACAAAATCTACGAACACACACAAGGATTTTAATCAGTTGCATTGATAGGATCTGCAGCTGATTTTGAACATCAGAAATGTATCTTAAAAAATTGTACCCACATTATTGCAAGGCCAAATTCTAGGATGAAAAAACTGAATTAATGTTGAACTCGATCGTCTGTACAATCAAATGCATATATCGCATGCAACAATACAATGTCTAGAGCATAGAATCCAGGCAATTGGCATCTATGTAGACACTCGCAGCTGGTATTGACCAAAATCTTTAACCTTTCTTTGCAGCTTGTTTGTAGCTGGCAACATCCTTCTGCTCTAAATCCTTTCCAATCTCTTACCGTAAGCCAGTTATATGCACCTTGAGTCCCTGATGTAATTCTGCAGTTAGAAACCTGAGTGCCCCAATACTATATTAAGCTACAAACTTCAATATGGTTTCCATCCTTTAAAGTTGACTTTCCACATGTTCAAGTCAGCTTTGAGTATGAAGCAGTTTTACAAATTGTGATTTAAAATAACATTGCCTATTCTTAGATATATTGATTTTTTTAGACTGACCAAGAGAGCGAGTTTCAAAAACAATTACTGTTTTGGGATTCTTAAAAATAAACTAATGTTGCTGGAAGCTATTACTATCTACACAACCTTGCGGATGCTAGAAATTGAGCACATTTTTAAAAACAATCTTAACAGGATTGTGAGATTATATGTATAGATTCTACTGGAATCGAGTGTAATTGTCAAATGTAAGATTAATAATGCTAGTTGTTTTTTGTTAGGAATGCTCTTAATTTAATAATTTGCTGCAGTGGTTTAAAATCTTTGTGTTTGATGTATTAAATTATAACTATAATTTACACCACGCCTAGTGCTCATCATTGACAAATCCAAACTTGGATGAGCATCAACGGTCTTTAAGATTCTGATGGGAATACATAATGTAGACCACAATAAGATGTTAATCTTGTACTGAACAGTAGAACCAAAGGACGGCCTGCTCTTGAAGGGGAGGTAAATTCAGAACAAATCTGCGGGAACACTACTTCGGTGAGCGAGTATCAAACGTATGGAACAGACTCCCTAGGCAGACAGACGGTGGAAGCAAAAATGACGTTTGTTTCAAGAACAAATGAGATAGATTTCTACTAGAAAATAATACCTCAGGATACAGTATATAGTTTAGGACACAACATGTCAAGCAACTGCCAGGATGGTGGAAGGTGAACTAGATGGACTTTGGTCTTCTTTCGCCTAGCAAGTTCTTATGTTCTTATCTTATTTATACCAATATGTGTTAAGCCTGAAAAAAGTTAACAATTTTTTTTCTGTGTTTCTTTCCTAATCACTGAAATAACAGCAGATTAGTCCTTAGTTATTATAAGTGATTTAAAAATCAGCTAGCACAACCATGAACTGCAACATTTTGCTTTGATAGTCAGATCTGGATACCGATAACTAGAGTGTTTTAAAATTTATTCTGCATATTGGATAAAACACAATTCCTAAATAACATGGGGGGGATACTTTTATTTTGCTATAAATTTGCTGATAATCTCAATAAAAGGAGGCTAAATAGTGCTTAAAAAGTTTTAGACTAGTTAACCAGCCTCATGGTGTTTAGATGGATTTTGATGTAGAAAAATGAAATGGTAAAGCTGTGAACGCAATGAAGGCATGCCTATTAGCAGAGGTGGAGAAGAAATGGTTATTGATTATTGAAATGGTTATTGATTATAGAAATGGTTATGCTTATTGATCATTCACTGAAAGTTTCCAGCCAATAACTAGATTGCGCTTTGAAGAAATTTGACTAAATCAACAAAACATGTGTACATCACTGGTGGAATGGGAGTGGATTTGCAATCATATTTGTGGTTTTTAGACACCCTGCCTTTGGAATAACATCAAAGCATTAAAAAGAATTCGGAGAACGCAAGAATGATTCAGAATTCAGTTTCATTCCCCAAATTATAAGATGTTCTCAGGGTAGACTTTTTAATTTATTGGAAAGAAAAATGGGTGATATGCGGATCTAAGATCTAAACCAGCAATTTGACTTAAACAGTTAGAGAGCATAGGTTTAACATGGGTTAATGTTAGATTTTTAACATTAAAAAAAGTTGGCACATACGTAGAAACAGATCCACATCAATATCAGTAAATAGTGTAAGAATTTTAAAGGATTAACTCCTTTAATAATAATAATAATCCTTGCATTTGATATAGCGCTTTTCACATTGGGAGGACGTCCCAAAGCGCTTCACAGAACACACTGTAAAGTGAATTGACTGTATATTTGTGAGTGAACGCGGCAGCCAATTGCGCACAGCAATGTCCCACAAACAGTCGTAGATTGAAAATGACCAATTTATTATTGTTTTTTTGTTTTTTTGGAGGGATTATTATTAGGCGTGTGGAGTAAGGAAACTTGCCCAAGGTTTCGCTCTGCCTAGAATTGAACTCAGGTCTCTCGCTTTCAAAGCGAGTGCTCTAACCACTGAGCTACAGGACTCCACGAGGTAATTTAAGGTAATTAGATAGATATTTTCTCTGAAACTTTATTGAGGAATAGATGTAGATTGAGATGAACAAATACTCCATGGGAAACGATTGTTTTTTATCATCCTCTCTGCCTTAACTTCTGTCATCCTCTTTTGGGAAAATGAATTTCTGAAATTATGGTGTAAAGAAACTTCAATGCATATTTACTGCCTACTTATATTTAATTGCTTCTGTTCTCCCCATTCCCTTGAGATTTATTATTGTAGCGTCGAGCTGCGTAATCATGTGGGTCAAGCTGAGCATCCATCAACAGCTTTTATATTGGAGACTTGGTATGTTGCTTCCCATACTGTTATCAGCAAGCACATTTTTCCACTTTACCTCTACATGCTCTCATATTATAGAAGATACTGCTACAAAATTGAAAATCAGGTTGCCGAAGACCTATGATTTAGTAAATATACACTGAATGAGAATTGACTACTAAATGTGAAATTTAGTGTTAAATACCTGTCAACACTGGGGTTCTTCCACATTTTCGGTTTAATTCAGCCGTTATTTCATATCAGTCTAGTGGTCCATTGCCACATAAAGCATACAGCAAGATCTGTTCACTAAAGATTTTATACGAAAATGTTTTATGTTGTTAGATGTTATGGAAGAAAAGTGAAACAATCTTGTGGGACGTTGGATGGGTAATCTAAATGAATCATACTTGCATTACTAACGGGGATTACTCAGAAAAGCATATTTGTGAGATGAACTAAGATCATTAAAGGGTTGAAGAGATTGTTTAAATTTACTTTTACCTTCTTTTCATGTGGAATATTGCGAT